AGGAGTATAGGATATGGTCAACGAATATTAGGGGTTTGAACTCACCAGTAAAGCGCCGGAAAGTCTTTAGTAAACTTACTAAATTAAATGCGGATGTTATTACACTACAAGAGGTTCATATAAAAAACGACCAAAAATATTTATTAGAACAACCTAAATTAGGAAAGTTATATGCCTCATTAGATGAGAGAGAAAAAAGAGGAATTGCTTTGTACGTTAAACAGGAGATAGCTTCCAAACAAATTGATAAGGATAAAGAGGGAAGGATTTTGATAGTGGAGGCTAAACTGAACAAAAAATATATAATAATTGTTGTAATTTACGCGCCAAATGGAGCCCAAGTAGCTTTCTTTAAAAATTTGCATAGTAAGCTTAGTGACATAGAGGGAGATGGGTTCTGCGTGATTGGGGATTTTAATGCGATAGTAGATAGAATAAAAGATCATAAAAGCAACGAGGTAAGGAAAGGGAATAAAAAAATACTTCCCCAAACTTTTTTTGAGATGTGCACAGACCTTAATTTGCAAGATGTTTGGAGGGAAAGAAACAAAGATAAAAGGGAATATACATATTACTCTAATAGACATAGATCGTGGACCAGGATTGATATGTTATGGCTTTCAAAAGAATTAGATTCGGTAATTCAAGGAATTAACATAGAACCTAGTCTCTGGGCAGATCATAACCCCATACGTTTTTGCTGGAAAGGGCAAAGGAGTAGGCCAAGATGGACTCTTCAGAGAGTGATCCTTAGAGAAAAAGAGTTTAAGGAAAAGATGGAGAAAGAAATGCACCTTTTCTTCCAAGCGAACAAAAATGGGGATACATCTCTGCAGAATACCTGGGACACAGCCAAAGCATATATGAGGGGAGTTGCAATCTCATATATGGCTAAGAGAAATAAGGAAAAAAACAATATAGGATAAGGCTTGAGGAAGAATATAAACAGGCTGAAACACAATACCAGGGTGACCCAAATAATAAAAGATTGAAAAGTAAAATGGAGCTAATTAAACATAAACTTTGCATAGAAGACTCGGAAAAGCTAGCACAACAACTTAAGGTCGCCAAGCAAAACAATTTTGAACATGCGAATAAACCTGGAAGATGGTTGGCGTATAAACTGAGAAGACAGAAAGAGAAGCAACAGATTATTAATTTGCAAGATGAGGAAGGAGAGATTCAACATGATGAGATCACTAAAAGGGGAATTGCTCAAAGATATTATGAAAAACTATATAAGAGGAATGAGGGACAAAGAGCAGAAAGGATAATAGAATATCTGGAAAAGGCAGATACACCGAAGATACCAGAGGAAATAAAATTTATGTTAAACGAGGAAATAAGAATGACTGAAATAACTAAGGCTATAAGTAAACAAAAGAACAACAAGGCGGCTGGCCCAGATGGAGTACCAGCGGAGTTGTATAAAGAGCAACAAAATGTACTTAACCAATACTTATTAGAAGTTTTTAATGCCGTTTTAACTGAAGCTAAAATACCTAAATCCTGGTCAGAGGCAAACATAGTACTAATACCAAAAGAAGATGCGGGAAGAACACAGATACAAAACTACAGACCTATCTCCCTACTAAATCCCGATTATAAGATCTTTGCGTCAATAATGGCAGAGAGATTTAAAAATTATTTAACTGATTTCATACATTGTGACCAAAACGGTTTTCTACTGAATAGGCAGATTAAGCGGAACATAAGGACAATTATAGACGTTCTTGAATTTTACGAATTACATAGTGACCGCCAACTGGCACTTTTGTTTCTTGACGCACAGAAGGCATTCGATAATGTCAATTGGCTATTTCTGATTCAACAATTGAAACTAATCGATGTCGGTGAAAACTTTCTAAATGTAATAACTGCAATATATTCCAAACAGAATGCTCAGATTATAATAAATGGTGAGGCCACTAACAAATTTAGTATCCAGAAAGGTACAAGACAAGGATGTCCTCTCTCGCCGTTGCTGTTTATATATACATTGGAGATTTTAGCTAGAGTCGTAAGGCAAGAGGAGCAAATCAAAGGGCTCGAGATCAAGAAGGAAATATATAAACTCCAAGCATATGCTGATGATTTAGTATTCATATTGGAAGATCCTGTGCAATCAGGTCAGAAGCTATTTGAAATACTGGAGGAGTATGGAGATTCGGCAGGCTTGAAAATAAACAGAAATAAAACAAAGATCATAGCAAAAAATATGAACAATATACAAAAAGAAAATCTTGGGGAGAAATTAGGTATACAAGTAGTTCCTAAAATAAAATATCTGGGAATTGTTATTTCAGCACATTGTTCATCAGTCAAAGAGGACAACTACGGAAAATTAGTAAAGCACATAAAAGTTGACTTAGATCGCTGGAGAAACCTACATCTTTCGCTTCTTGGAAGAATCTCAGCAGTGAAAATGAATATTCTACCCAAAATGATATTTTTGTTCCAAAATATTCCAATCCAATTAGATAATTTTTTTTTAAAGAGTTGAATAAATTAACCTTGGATTTCATGTGGCAAGGAAAGAAGGCGAGAATAAAACAAAAGTCTCTACAGGATGCCAAAGAGAGAGGGGGATTAGGTTTTCCGGATTGGGAGCTGTATTATCAAGCAGCAGCCCTGATGTGGATTAGGGATTGGATTACTTTGGAAAACAAAAGATGCTTATATTTAGAGGGGCATGACCTCCAGCAGGGCTGGCATGCCCATCTATGGACAGGAAAAAGTAGGAACCATCAATACTTCCTGAGACATAAAGTTCGGCAAGAACTGATACGCCAGTTGTGCCCCTTTCTGGATCGTGACGCTCTACGCACGGTCACTCAAGCCCTCGTTTCCCGCCTGGACTACTGCAACGCTCTCTACATGGGGCTCCCCTTGAGGTGCACCTGGAGGCTCCAGCTAGTTCAGAATGCGGCTGCGCGGGGGATCCTGGGGGCCTCTAGATACTCCCATGTAACACCTCTCCTGCGCGAGCTGCACTGGCTGCCTGTGGCCTTCCGGGTGCGCTTCAAGGTGTTAGTAACAACCTTTAAAGCGCTCCGTGGCAATGGACCTAGGTATTTGCAAGACCG